TCTTATTCACTGATGGCAAGGGGGTTTCGTAGCCTCACTTTCTTTGCACTGCGGAGTGAATATAGATTTCACATTTAAATATTCTAAGCTTAAATGGTAAAACAAAATGGCTAGGTGGCGCAAGCTACCGCCCGATCCAAAGGGCTCAGCCGTATTCATCCATCCATCCATCCATCCTATTAGGTTTGGTTTCAGCTGGCTCGCGGCCATGTTGGTGTCATATCGTTTTCGCAGAGCCGATGATACAATGGTAATGGACCACCTTGGGAACTACGACCTAATTACGAACCTGTATTGTGGACGTTTTCACGAACACAAGCTTCATCTGAACGTGTTCTTCGTTCGGCCAGGTTCGCGGCGAAACGACCGAAATAGTGCCGGGGAAGGGTTAGCGATGGCCGTACTGGACGTACCTGTTAATAGTACTTAATTCCATAAAAAATTAACTAATGAAGAGACTACTGCTTGGAGGAACAGTGAAAAAGCAGGTCACATGGAGCAGATGAACTCGCAAGTTGAATGCTTACTGTTCTGTTTTGGAGGACACTAACGTTTTGTGAAAATTGCTTACCGGGAAACGCCCGTTTAATTACGCATGGAATGCAAAAAAGAAGCGATGATATCTCCATCGGTCTCTTTAAAGAAATGAAGTACTCGAGAGGTGCTTTAATAATTCATCCTAGGCCGAGTAGGACATTTTTTCAACAATCAGCCCTGCTAAAGGCTGATTGCTGATTCATTAGCAGCATTTTATATTGTTGAACTTAGGAAATTAGTTGTTATACGGACATTTTTCTAAAACGTTTCGAGCATATGAGATAAGGGACAAACGCGTCAATTGAAGTCTGACGTCTGTGCTCCGTATAATTTGCGAAGTAAAATTACATGGCGCAAGGAAATTGACCTCCAGCAAGCTTGGCTCAAGTCAAATGCCAGGCACCACTGTATGGAGTTTTGCAGCTAGGTTTTTATTTGTTTTATTAGATACGCCTTTTACTTTCAGTACTTTCTCCGACTGTTTCCGCAGTGTGACAAGGCCATAAGTGAGGTGATATTCTACAAGATAATTGTGTCGTTGTCATTTTTATCTGTTTACTGGCAATTTTTCATTCTTTTGTAAAGTTTTTGTTGACTTCTTGCAGAAGGGGTGAGAAAACGAGGTTGGGTAGTAGCGGTCGCAGTCACGATCACAGGTTCTGGGCATCGATGAGTAAGGACCTAACAAAAAACTGCATTAATTTTCCTCCTTTTTTTTTTTTTTTTTTTTTTTTAATATGAAGTATACCACTAATTTGGTTCGCCAAAGAAAATTGCCGGCTCGTGTGCTCGCTCCGGTTGCGCTGGTGCTGCGTTTCAACCTCTACGCCTCGGGCGCTAATTTTTAGCACTGAGTACTCTGCCTTAGATGGGCGTGACTTTGAATATATTTGGTAGGCATCGGTTTGAACAGCACGTGACCGTGTAAAAAAAGAGGGAGCGCGTTTGAAACTGGCCCATTCTCGACCGGTGAGTTTCGGGCGGAAATAATACGAATTTCGAGCCGCAAATTGTGTTCCGCGTTGTTGGGCCCTTGTCGTTCATGTTCCAACAAAAACCTTGGCGAGCAGAAATACCCGTTCAGTTTCCCTTTACATTCGCACCGTTAGTGTCACAAATATATTTCTACGGCTTCCTCTTTCCCCATTGACTCGGAGGTGAAGGGAATATTATAGCCGGAGCGTACGTATGCCGAACTGTAAATGGCATTTGTTTCTTCGCTATTGGTATGCACTAATTGTTTCCCCCAGGGGAAGGGCTTCTTGGAGCTCTCCAGGGGAACTCGGTTAAACGTCGGCGTGGGCGTGAATAGAGGCTTCGCCCCGGCGGCCGCTTTGGGCGGGTGGTGCCGCGAACGCATCCGGGGCTGCGAGGGGCACGCTGTTCCTCCATGACGCATCCTTTGCTTCAGAGGAGAACTGGCCCCCGCCCAACCCGTTCGAGAACACCCCCAACACAACAAACACTTTTTTCAGATTAAAGACCCCGTTTTATTTTACGTCGTATGCCGCTGTGCGTGAACACGCTTTTCCGAAGCGTCGACGCCTGCCCGCTAGGCCCCTTTCATTTTTTCACTAATCTTTTGCGCTAATTTCTTGCGTGGAAACTTGTTTTACTCTCTTATATATTTATTCCTTTACGTGCGTTTACATTTTTCTTCGTTTATTGAGAATTTTAGTGTATATAAGATATGTATATATATATATATATATATATATATATATATATATATATATATATATATATATATATATATATATATATATATATATATATTTAATATACTTTCAGTGTTTTCCTCCTTCGCCTACTTTGTATATATATATGGTTGCCACTCGTGGAGCAGGTACAAGGCTAGCGGTGCGATAAGGCGCCCGCGCCTGCTCCACGAGTGGTAACTTTACCGCACTACTGCGCTTCTCACGAGCTCCGTCTTTTTGAAGATTATCTATGTTGTGGTTTTCGACGACGCTCAGCAAGTTTCCAATTGGAACCATATGTCTATTTTTACTAATCTGAAAAAAAAGAAAAAGTTGATTAACAAATTTTACTTAATTAGCCGAGTGGTCGTTACGATTAGCCCCTTATACCATGTTCCCCTGGCCGTATGAGTCACCTGCACGGACCGCATAAATGTAGCTTTCGGAACTTTTTTTTTTTTTAATTAGTGTTACTTTTAGAGAAAAGAAAAAAAAAGACTGTGTGTAATTATAACTGGTATATAACTCGTCACCTTTATGCGATTTCTTTCGTTATATATGCGTTGCCTTTCTTAGCTCTATTTTCCTCGGATTTTAATGTCGGAATACATATCTGACGACAATGAATACCTCGGAAGTATGATGCACTGTGCACACAACGTAACGCAACTCTGTACTCTTTATTTTTCTCGCGGAAGGTAAATATGGGAGATAGAAGCAGGAGCGAACTAACCTAGAAGAAGAGACAAAAAAAGAAAAAAAGGGAAAAAAGAAAAAGAAGGTGTTTGCGGTCACGCCGTGGTTCCTTTGTCGCCTCGCACGAGCGTGCCTGTTGTTGTTGCACGGGGCTTCTCGTGTTGCTGCGTGCCTGTTCGCGTTGTGCGGAGGCGGTTGTTTGGCGGGCCATCGCGATTTTCCGGCCTGGAGAATTCTTATCGGGTGTCGAATCACTGGTGGCGGCACGCGTGCGTCTTTAGCGCCCCGTTACGTGGCGACGGTTTCTTCGGCTGCTCGCGGTTGGGGGCTGTGCTGCCAGGTTCACGGTTGCCGACTATGAACCGTTACTCGGTCGCGGAACGACACGCGCGCATTTACACAGGCGCGTTTTTCCACGTTACGACCACTTCCTTCGCGAGGGACATCCGTGCTTCGAATGAAGCGTGGCGACCGGTGCAAGGAGCAGCTTTGGGCGCGACGTACGAATCGTAAGCTAACGCCCCTGTGTGAACCGATGATGGAGAGCGGCGGACACTTGCACTTGGCGAAGCCGACCCACTGCTCGTAGCGACTCTCGTGACCTTCCGGTGGGGCGAAGCGACGGGGTCACGTGGTACGTGCGGTGGCGCTGGATCGGCTAAGATGGCTCGTGGGTGTTTGGTCAGTGTTCGAAAAGCGCCCTCCCAGTGAAGTTTAGCGATGATTTTTTCTTCCTTTATCTATCTTTTGACATTTGGCATTGAATATATTGTGTCGGGTGTCTGTAAAAAAAAAAGGTTCTTAGTTTTTTTTTTCTTTGTTTTTTTCACAGCAATAATAATTTACGCGTCGCGTGTCAACTGCGCGTGTATTCCTGCGAATTTTTAGAAAAAAGTAGGATGCCCCTTTCTCTAGGTTTGTGCTGACCTTGAGGAAGTGCATATGCATGAACTCAGTAAACTCGGTAGCAGAGTTTAAGACGTCCCTCTTTGCATTCGTTTTAAAGCTGCTTTCTTACAGTGCCCCAACCTTCGGTGTCATAAAAAAGGACAAAAAAAAATGCGTTTAAAGGGATGGTGAACCGAAATTTGGATTAAAAAAAAAAACATTGCAGGAGGTGTATAGGCGGGACGCTACAATCCCTACAATATTATACTCGTAAGGCGATATCTCGAATGGACGGCCTTATTTTTGGAGAAAGAGGTCGAGATTGAACCAGGCCGACGAGGCGCGTGACGTAAAGATGTCTCGTTTCCTCCTCTCTTCGCTTCGCCCCCTCTAGGCGGCGAGGCAGAGAAAACGGAAGGCCGTTCCCTCTCCTTCTCGGAGAAACAAGACGTAAACAAAACTGTCAAATGCGCCTCCTTTGTTTGAAAAATACGGTCATCCGTTCGAGATATTGCTGTATGAGTGATGTTTTGGTGTTTTTAGCATCTCGTTGCACGCTTTTGCTGCCGTGTTTTGTGGAATCCAGATTTCGGTTCAGCATCCCTTTAAAGAGGCATTTTGTAAACGGCAGCTGCCGTAAAGATGGCCAGCTATAAGGCTGATTTCACCTTTCGGTCCAGCTGCGTCATGGCGTCTATGACGAGCCCACACTTCCGCCCGTCGCGAGTCTCAACTATAGTCTCAACTCGTTCCGGCTGCGTAGCTCGGAGCTTCGTTAATGATTGCGTCCTAACTCGGCCTGGCTGTGACAGCATTAGATCGCAAAGTCAGGATGAAGTTTGAACGAAGTCAGGACGAACGCTCACGAGGACCAAGACAAGGCGCCTTGTCTCGTCCTTCTTGACTCGGTCCTTGTGAGCGCATTGCCTTGCCCCTCTTGCCGCGGACCTTGTATTACGCCTTCAGTTGTCCCTCTTGCCTGTGTTCTTGCTTTATTGTGGCGTTGTTTTCCTTAGCTATGAACCAGCTGACCCAAATCGCCACCTTCCTGTACTCATACACGACCGCACACCGGTAGATCAAGCCTGCATGCCGTCTCCAGGGTGCCGCCAGAGGTCCCCCCCTGGGACGATACCGGTGTTTTGCACGTCTGACTGTCGTCGTCTGCCTCGGTCGCAGGCGGCGGTCGGCCAGCGCAGCGAGGACCTTGGCGCCGTGGCCGCGGCCGGGGCGTCGGGCCCCTCGTCCGGTGCGGCCATGCCTTTTCCGTCGGCGTCGTCGACCTTCAGCCTGGGCAGCTCGAGCTCGGCCGGAAGCGGCGCCCAGGGCCCTTTGCCGGGCCCGAGCCTGTACGAGTTCCTGCTCGAGGCCGAGCTGTCGGGCTACTACGACGCCCTGCGCAACGGCCTCAAGGTCTCCTCGGTCGGGCAGCTCAAGTACGTCGAGGAGGACGACCTGTCCCACCTGGGCATGAGCAGGCCCGAGCAGCGACGCCTCCGCAAGTACTTCCACAAGTACTTCCCGCAGACCTACCTCCGCAAGATCAAGCAGGTCAGTGCCCGCTCCCTGACGTCACGGCCACCGCGGGGGCTCTGCGTTCGGCGAATCTGTAAGCAGCCTGTTGGTAGAAGGGCGATCCTTCACCACGTGATCACGCTCTCTCATCCATACCTTCACGCAGAGAGCAGTGTCAGGTGATCGAAGGAAGGCGCGTCAAAATGGTCCCCAGTCCTTCGTTGGTTTGGCATGTGAAGTCTCCAAATATGACCTTTGACAGAAAGTGTAAGAGGCAAACTGACCTAGACAAAATGAAATATAATCTGTGACAAAAGTGGATTTTGAAATCGTTCTTTTATGACTCAAACGAAACGTATGCATGCCTCGAACATCCCCGAAAATCAAATAAATACGTTCAATCATGTATGTGTAGCCTTCCTCCCGATTCCAAACTTGACCAAATATGTAAAAAGCCCCCCTCAAAAAAAAAAAAAAAAAAAACTTTGGGAAAAGGGGCGTGTCGCTGTGAAAAAACAAATGCAACGCATGATTGTATTTTTTTTTTTTCTTCTGGATGTTTGGGTTCGATGTTTGTTTATGACACGAAGCTACGTGAGCTAGGAGTCACGCTAAATTCCTCCGAATTAGGCGGACTCGCGTCCCCTGAAAGACCTCGCGTTTCAGTTTCCCCGCCAAATTTAGTCGGGACGTCCTGGGTCGCGTCATTCATTCGCGTTTCCGGGACAGCACAAAAAGAAAGCTGTACATACGTAAAGGACGAGCGTGTTGTTAAGGGAATATGAGGAGTCGTTGTTGTCCGTCCCTTGTTCCTTCCTCATGTTCAGAAAGCTGTAGGCAAACAGATACTTCCCGTAATGCGTGTCTTTTTTCTTTTTCTCCAATTGAAGGACAGCTTTCAATTTACGGTTTATCGGTATTTACCGAAAACACGGGACCCGATCTCATAAAGGAGGCTCTGGTCAAGGACGTAGCCAGAGCAGCAAAAGGGATTTGTGCAGCTCGTGGTTTCTGGGTCTGCGGACGGGCGTTCGCGCGCCGTCGCCGTTGGACTGAGGCTGCCGAGCCGCCATATTGACCAGATACACAACTACGGCCTTTCACTGCGCTTCGTGACGCGGGAACTGATGGGTGATTCCCCCTACGGATGGCTTGAGTTCTGGTGGCTTTGAGTCGGCAAAGCAAGACCATACGGCAGCGCAAATCGGAAGATTTAATAAATGAATTGCAACAAAATGGTGAATTGGGCCAGTTGGTTCATAATGGAAAAAGACAAGCGCCGAAAGACCAGGACAAGGTAAGAAGACGACGACACAAGGCGCCTTGTGTCGTCGTCTTCTTACCTTGTCCTGGTCTTTCGGCGCTTGTCTTTTACCATTATTAAATGAGGTCAGTGTGCGCGGGTGACTCCGGCCGGCAAAAAAAAAGTAGATATATAGATGTTGAGGGAAGTTCGGCACTCGATGGACATTCCGAGAGGAAAACTCGGCCATTGTCTGCCGGCCGAACGCTGCAGAATCTTAGCTGTATTCGTTCATCGCGTGCCCTCTGCTATGCAGCAGCGGAATGACGGCGCACTCGATTGAATAAGGGAAGGAACGCGTGGCCGCAAGTTCGGTCTCTGTAGCGCATATATAGGGTATAATAGGGTTCACCACTGAGCAACATGAAACGCTATTTTACTCCGCTTGCGTCGCTTCTACCGGTAGTTTCCATGGCGGGTCGAGAATAGTTTTGGACCACTTTTTTTTGTAGCGTGAGCTACACTGGCCGAGGTTGAGCAGTTTCGCGTGGCTCGCATAATGAGCCGTGCTCCGTGCTGCGCATGGGCGAGGAGCAGTGACGTCACACGGCGCACAGCTGGTGCGCCGGAGCCGCCGCCGCGCCCGCCTCGCCGGTCTGCGCATTCCAGAGGAGTGACGTCATAGCCGCGGCAGACGCACTGGCGCCGCCGCGTGCCCAGCTGTGCGCCTCCGTTGCGCAGTAGCCAAGTCTGACGCTGCACCGAAGCCGCTTGATAGCGCCTCTCATTTCGTGCGCATAAGCTCACGCTACGTATATCCTGGCATAGCCGAGCTAAGCCACCGCAATCTTTTTTTTTTTTTTATTCTTTTACGCGTGCAGGCCCGCGCTAGCAGTTACGACTCTAAAGCCGCGAGGGTTGAGCACTTTTGCATCGCGCTAAACGTATACAGCGAGAGAATTCTCCACACGCGCTGTAGCTACCTTTCAGGACATGCACCGCTCTTTTTGGAGATGAGTCACTGTATGATACGTATGTCGCTCGGAAGTGTCGCTGCTACCGCGCGACCGTTTGGGAACACGTGGAATACACACTCGTAGTAATAAAAAAAAGGAAGTAAAAGAGAATTTAATGATCGCGACGTACGGAGTGACGAAACTGCACGTTTGTACGGCTGACAGTTTGTGTACGTAGGATTGCCGCCTCGAGTTTCTCGAGGAGTCAGTCCCGGATCAAAGTTATTTCGCAGCAAAAGAGAATTATATATATTTATATTTTCTTTAAATTGTTATTATATCTAATTCACTGTTTTGGTTAACCTAAAACTTATCTGGATAAAAAAAAAAGGAGAACGTTTGTCGATGGAATTTTCGCCGTGTGTTTTAGACGTTCGTCGAGTGACATATCTACAATCGGTCCCGAATATTTCGTTCGACGAAAGTCGGTACATGTTCGGACGTGCCCATATCACACACACGCACACGTGTGCGTGCTGACATGTGCGCTCGCACGAACGCGTTCTTGCGGTGAACCTCGCAACACTGTTTCTCACGTATTTCTTTTTTGTTATTCACAACTGCGGTTGTTCACTTTTCTGACCTTACTATCGTGTATTGTTGTTGTTGTTTTTTTCTCGTTTTTTTTTTTTTTTTTTTTTTTGCACTCGATTTTTTTGCATTCTTATAGTTGAGAGCAGACAAGACACTTCGACGCCTGTGTGGTAAAGCAACGTGTCCCTTCGTCAGTATCAGTGAAGACTATAAATAAGTCATAACCAGCTCCTTAATCGTTACTCTGCTGAATAGCTTGAGATAGGTGAGCGCGTTTAATCACTACCACTTAAGAAACAAAGTTTTCGCGTTCCCCTTAAAAAAAAATTATAATAAACGAGTCAGAGGTTAATTTTAGTGTACATTTATCCCATAAATCCAAATACCACTTTCGTTGTTTTTTTTTTTTTTTTGAAGATGTAATTAAAGGCGAGAAAACACGAAAACCCTCCGACCAATTGTTACGTTATACCTAAAGTCATACCCAGCTCATAGCAGCGAGATGTTTCGGTGGCGCCCTCATATGGTTACCTTTCGTGACGTCATTACCTTGTGAACAATAAGTTCGATGGTGTTTGTTATTACCATGGTGGAAGCTTGAAATCCTAGCGTTCTGGAACCAATACTGCCAACACCGTCAAAATTGAAGTCCTCACGTTCCTCTTATTTCCGTCCATGAGAACTCCTTTGCAAAGGTCTTAGTCAGCATTCGGCCAATCGTGGAAGGCCGACCACCGCGACGCTTCCGATCGCGCACGTCGCCAATACTCGCAAAGCCTGGCAGTTCGGCGACGAAGCACTTTAGCCATGAAGTGCCCTGTCGCAGATTTGGAGCGCGAGGATCTGGCAGCACAGAGCATCAAAAAGTCATTTCTTGGGGAACCTGGACGTCAGCGCACAACTTATGCAGCGGCGAGGACCCGAAACATACTTGTTCGCTCGGGAGAAGGGTGTTTCGGCGTCTCGCCGCAGCGGGGCGCCAGTCACGTGGCTCTCCTCTCATCCGTTGTCTGCCGCTCCAGATTTTCCATTTCGGCGGCCGCTTTTCGTGGCGATCTGCCAGGCTGTGTCAGTATATATATAGAAGGCTATGCCAGATCTTTCGGCCGCCAAGCGCGTCGTGTCGCTCGTGTGGACAGCGCGTGCAATTGCAAGCTTGCCAGGTATACTCCCCCGCACTGACACCAGTCGTGACGCCTTTTTCTAACTTTTTTTTTTTTTTTTGAAAATGGCAAGAGTGCGCATGCATAGCTTTGATGGGCGCTGAAGATGCGCGAGAGCGGAGATTCCGAAAAGTCCTAAGATGATGTCACGCTCTGGGAAGGAGGGGCTTCGGCGGCACTTTGAAAATTAATTTCTGCAGCCTCCGTGCACCAAATTAAAAAAAATATATAATCTCGATATTCGTGATTTTGGAGAGCAAATGAAGACGATTTGTTTTCCTTAGATACAGGACCGCGCGGCGAATTTTATCTTCCAAGTCTGGTCATGTACGGAAGTTGAGTCCGTCTTTTAGAAGACATTACGCTTGATTTGATGGTGTCGGGTCGTGACGTGTCACACGGTACCGCGTCACGTGACGTTATGGTGTCATATGACGTCATGATGTCACGTGTCATGCGCACGGAGAGACACATTCCTGGGGAGTTGGGCTTCCGCGGTAAGCTCCGTGCTTTAGAAAAAAAATTCCGGGGACACCTAAGCACTTCTTACGAGTTGAGAGTCCGAAAGAATGAATGTCGTTCTTCCGCTCCCTTAGTTCTTCTGCGGTGTACTGGCGTGGACGGCCACGTTTCGCTATGTCGAGGTTGCGGCCGGCGGCCGAGCGCTCTCTTAAAGCGGCCGCCAATGGCTATCTAGGTGCCGTTTCGCTCAGCCAATGGGAGAACGGGCATTTCCTTTCGCGATTACAGACGCCGCCCGCTCCGCTCCATGGGATCAAAAAAAAAAAAAAAAAAAAAATTGACTCGAACATACTAACATTCGTCGCGGTCTTTTTTTGGATCCTCTTTCTTTGGTATTCCCTGTGCGTGTTTCTTACGAATGTTTTCGGAGGCGGCGATTAGGTCTTTCGTCAGCCGCCCTTGGTACAGCTTGCACTGGTCTCGCCTTTCCGTTGTGGGAGGAAGGGCCGAGACGCTGCAGACGAATGTGGAGCGAGGCTGTGCGCTTCTATTAGCCGCAAAAGACGCTCTCCTATCTGCCGCCGCTGCCGCTCAGATGAACGCGCGCTTCGAAGAAAG